CGGCGGGGCCGGCCCCGGGACCGGGCCCTGCTCCTGCCGCAGCCGGCGGGAACGGGGAGCTCCGCAATAGCCTAAAATCTCGAGCCCCGCTAACCTAAGGCGGAATAACGGGTATAAACACGGAATCATCTCTAATAAATAGTCACCAGCCCACTCTAACCAGAACTGACCAAAGCTCACTCGCAATTAGCTGCTAATGGACAAAAGCTACTTATTAAACGACTTTAGGATTATTATTAATTAAATTATTTTTAGGATTGTTTTATAGAGATTCCCCCCTGAATCAGAAAAGCTACTAGAAACACATTCCAGGTTCTCAGGGCATCTCATCCTGCAACGATGATTTGGGGGAGGTGGGGTTTGGGACAGGGTTTGGAACAGACTTGTTTTGCTTTATGCTCATGTTGGAAATCACAATGCACTTTCACCTGGAAACGATGTTCGGGACTTTGCAGCAGTTCTTCCCTCACTGGAGAGTTTTGGAACGATTTCCAAAAACCACATCTGCTGCACGAACAGCCTGTCCCATTGGCAGGAAGTCCCAAGCATCCAGAAATGAAGTTGTCTATCCTGCTATCTTAAAAAAAGAATTCCAAAGTGGTTTGGTATTATGAGGAAGGTATTATTTTAGCACACAGAAAAATACAGATAGAGGATTTTTACAAGTTTATCAACAGGTAAACACATGCCTGTGTTGCAGAGGACAGTCTTGATGCATTTTCATTTTATCACCATTTGCTAAGGGCTGAGGCTTCATGCTGATTTTGTTTAGATAGTACTGCTGTAGCTTATCTGGCAAGTGAGAAAGGCATGTCTAATTCAGGCTGAACTACTATCTATAACATATAATAGTGTCTTTAGTAAGGTATGAATGGTAGAAAGTGCTGAGATACAACAACTGTCCTGTCTTAGGTTAACATTGGCACACAAACTTTGACCAGGTACATTTTCCAGATTCCAAATAATCTAATACACCAAAAATTATTTAGAAATAGATTTTTAAAAATGTTACTATGAAATAAATAAGAGTTAAGTTTCTTGAAATCAAATAGCTGTAATGAGTACCACAAGGGAGTTTCTGGAAGCTTTTAATAGTATTTACAATTACAGTTTAATAATAGAAAACTTGGAGCCAAATTCAACAAATAGCACAAGCAGAGGATGTCAATGTGATTAGGAGACTGAGGCTATCTTAAGCTGTTAAGTTTTATTTATAAGTATATCTTAATCTGTATGCAGATGCATATAGGGAAAAGGGGGGATTATGATGCAATTTAAAAGCTGCCTGTTTATAACAGAATGAAAAATGAGCTGCCATGATGAAAAGGGACATCTGATTTTAATTCCAGAAAAGGCATTATATATTTTCATCTCAAAATTTTGTTATTTTTGCCTTTGCTTTTATTTTTAAATTAAAAAGCAACCCTTTCCAAATTTGTGGCATGAGTCACTCTCCTTAGAAACTGGGGCTTTATGCATTACAAAGGCAAATCCAACTCCTTCCCCCTCCTGTTCCCATAGTAACTCTTCTAGCTGATGCTGCTCTAAGACTGCATTTCAAGCAACACCAACCCTTCAAATCCTGAAATAGTGACTACTCTGTGCTAATAAAGAATATGTTACAAGTTTGTGAAACTGCTGAAAGCACGAAGTACTAACACTTGCAAAATACACTTCGTCAGAAGCCTCACAGGCATGCCTTAGATTTGATGTTAGTACCTATTAGTTGTTACAAGATTGAGCTGTGACAATATCTTGCCACTGTGGCTGCTGCAAGCATCGCCCAGGCTCTTTGTTAAGGAGACAGAATGCGAGGGTGACCTTGTGGGATTTTTGCAAGCGGTGATGTTGCTGTAGAAACAATAGCCAACAATTCAGTACTCTGCACAGAGGCCTTAGACATCTCACACACAGCAACGACTGAAGAATGGCTCATAACATATTCCAGTTTTTATCTGTTTGTTCAGGGCCAGACCAAAAGAGGCCGTTTTAGCAAGCCAGAATATTCCCATGGAGAAGAATACTGAGAAGCAAAAATACATGTAATGTAGCCAAAATGAAAAGATGAGTAGTAAAATTTCCTTATTTTCACCAACTCAAACATATCTCGAGAAACCTAAATTGAAAACAAGAACAATGATGTTGTCTTAAAAATAAAAAAAAATCTAGCTTCTAACTGCAGCTTTTAAAACTTTTTTAAAAAAATAATTCACTTTTACCCTCAGGTTTACTGCTTACTTTCCAGAGTAGTGTGGTCATTTTCACAGTGAGTCAGTAGCACCATCTTCCTATATACCTGCAGCAATTGTCATGAATTATCCTTCCTGCAACATAGCACCGTCATTATTGCACTCCCTTGCATTGTACTTTCTGTCCAGGGATAACCAGACCAAACTAGAGGCAGTCATTTAAATGACTTAAAAATTGGGCAATGCAGTATCATATAAACAGCAACAGGCCAAATGTTGATGCAAGGAATACACATGATTCATTTTTATCTTAAAATTATCTGCTTATTTGGAGAAAGAATAACTATTTTTTGATCTCCTTTTTTTCTTGTAGTTGCTGGTAACTTTAGCACCAACATTCCGTACTTCACTCTCTAGCACTGAGGAGTGGCCATGGAAGATCCTGACAAGAAGACTGAAGTGGTACTGCTGGCCTGTGGGTCCTTTAATCCCATTACCAACATGCACCTACGGTTATTTGAGCTGGCTAAAGATTACCTTCATGAAACAGGTAGCATGATGACTTACAGCATTTTAAACAGCTATGATTTGCAAACATTTAGATGTTAAATGAATACAATGGCAGCAGTATGCTGTACTTTTCCACTTAGTTGGCCTTCAGAGCTAACACTGGTTTTCTTAGAGACTATGGTAAATAAGGGTACATAATAGCTTACATACAATACTGAGGAAGTAACATCTGCTCAACCACTTCTCATGTTCTTTTGTGATATGTTTTTTTTTCCACAGGAAAATACAAAGTAATCAAAGGAATCATTTCACCAGTAGGTGACGCATATAAGAAGAAAGGTCTGATCAGTGCTGATCACCGAGTAACTATGGCAAAACTAGCTACAAAAAACTCAGATTGGGTAGAAGTGGATGACTGGGAAAGCTGCCAGAGTGAGTGGTTGGAAACACTCAAAGTTTTAAGGTATTCTTCAGTCAAATCTTTAAAATTCTCAATAACCTATAGAAGGATGAAGAATGGTGTAGTAGTTGTAAAAGACAGAATATCAAGTTAATCCCAAATTATATGAATAGACTCAGAAGTCAGACGTGATATTTGCATGAGCATTATGAACGAAAGATTGCGAGTCCTAAACATACAAAAAACCTGCATTTGTGAACTGCACATGTTTTTTAACATTATATGAATAGACTCAGAAGTCAGACATGATATTTTCATGAGCATTATGAACGAAAGATTGTGAGTCCTAAACATACCTGCATTTGTGAACTGCACATATTTGTTAAGATCATATATATTATCTTAGGCTTTATGCATCTTCTGTGCTGAAAAAAATAAGGTATTAACGGGAGACTAGAGTAGGGTGGACATATGCTGCACAAACTTCCTTCTTTTGATTTTGATTGTGCTATGCTGCCCATATGTATTTTAAAGGTTGGCATGACAATTTTCTATATTAATAAGTTTTACTTTTTTTTTTTCTCATCCCACAAGTTTCTATAATTTCAATATTGCTACACTTAACTATTTTTAAGAGTGTTTCAGTCATTCCTTCCCTATGGTTCTTTTTTTGTTTACATGAGCATTAATTAAAAAGAAAGAAAGAAAAAAAAACAGACCTTGTAGTTGTTGCTTCAAAGTCCTTGCACTTTGACTACCTTATGACCCAAAGCTCACAAGTCACTGAGCAGATACTTCTTGGATGAGTAGTCTGTGAATGTACTGCAGGAGGAAATGATAAAAGGTTATTTAGTAGGCAGTGCTCTTATATTCTCTTGCATATTCGCTGTCTTTAAAATATCTAATCTGTTTTGTAGGTATCATCATGAAAAGCTTTCATCTCCTGATCCCACAAATAGTCTGGAGAATGCAATACCTTTAACAAAGGCAGGACGGAAGAGGAAACAGGAACCAAATAGGCATGGCCCCATTAAGAAGAAAAATCAGAATCCAGATATAAAAAGTTAAGTCTCTTGGCCAATTAAATGCTTAAAAATATTTACTATTTACAGGGGATTGTGCTAAGTCTTCTTTTGATGCTAGTTCTTGGTTCTGACATCCTTGAAAAAAGATATTGACACAGATCCCATAGCATGAAACAGTAATCCTCAAAACTTTCCAAATTTTACTAAGTTTAGCTGATAGTATTTTAAAATAAATGTGTTCAAAGAAAAGACTAACAGCATCACTCAGGCTTTCCCCATACTGTAGTGACAGATGTTTCACAGCATTCTTACCCCCCTGTGACATTACTGGATGTCCTGTAGCATGCACAAGCTTGTTTCCATTATTTAAGGTGTTTTCTGCCTGCATGTTTCTCTGGATTCCATATAAAACACGGAGAGAATAGAGTCTACCCCATAAAAGTAGTTCATCTTCTGGAACTCTATAGAACACCTGATAAAGTTAATAGCACTACAGAGTCCTTTCATACATCACAACTCTGGCACTCTAGATTTTCCTTTGATCCTCGTGTGACTGATTCACCACAAGGCTAAATGAGCACATTAAGAATTTATTTTTCTAGTGCTTATGAATGAAAGGCGTCCCATAACTTGTTTTCAGAGGAATTCTGTATTAAGGTTAAAAAAGATTTAGAACATAATTATTACTTCTTTCCATTGTCTCACCTTAACCAAAGATATAGAGTGGTTAAAAATGAAATGTTCCCATTAAGTGAGCTAAAGCCAGGCAAGCTAAACCAAGCCCTATTTTTTTTTCTTTTTTTTTTTTTCTTTTCCTTTTTAAGGTGTCCCACAGGTTAAACTGCTTTGTGGAAGTGACATCCTGGAATCGTTTGGGATCCCCAATCTGTGGAAGTTGGAGGACATCACTGAAATTGTGGAAAATCATGGCCTTGTATGCATCTGTAGGGCTGGAAACAGTGTTCAGAAATTCATCTATGAATCTGATATTTTATGGAGACATAGGAATAATATTCACCTAGTGGAAGAATGGATCACAAATGACATTTCCTCCACCAAGATTAGGAGAGCACTGCGGAGAGGCCAGAGTATTCGTTACCTAGTGCCTGATGCAGTTCAAGCATACATAGAAAAACATAATCTGTATAGTCCAGAGAGTGAAGATAGGAATGCTGGGGTTGTCTTGGCTCCCTTACAGAAACATGCAAGTGATTCCAAGAACTAACAGGGATTATACAGCTTCTGCTATATCTGCTGTCTAAGGACGACAGTTCAGTGCAGAAAAATGTTTCATCTTTTTTAGTAAATAGAAGGCTAATTCTAGTACATGTGTAGTTGCTGCTGAGGTAGGATATGCTCAAGAGTTGGACCTACGCCATCTTTTTTCTTTCTTTCTTTCTTTTTTAATCCAGCAACATGAGTTTGATTTTTGAATCTAAACATTTTGTCATGCTTCAGTGAACTAAATGCAAGAAGTGACCCTAGCATACAAAAATTACAGCTTATTAAAAAAAATTACAAATTCTAAGTTACAAATTATTAAAAATATTCTGATTAGTTTGCTCAAACTTATTTATAAAATGCCAAAACGAATACTTGGAATATATTAAAATGCCATAAGTAACAAAGCCTTTTTACAGCATTTCAAAATGTACCCCTTGACAGTAAACCAGTATAACTCAGTTTTTAGAAGTTGGCAACATATAATGGATCTCAAATACATGATTTAGCTCTGTGCTGGAAGGGGATACATTTCTGCTGACTGAACTGGTCCTGGATAAGTCATGCTTTCAGTTGTCTGCATTTCAGATATACATACAGCTTGTTTGTCTGCCATCGTGCAGTTTTCTCCCAGAAATGCTGTACTTTTTTCTCAGCACTGTTTCTCATGGGGGAAAAAAAAAAAAAAAAAAAAAAAAGAAGAGAGAGGGAGGACAAGAGCTACTTTTTTTGCCTGCTGCTGTCTTGAAGGCTGACAAGAATACAGAGCACAAAAAAAAAATTCTCAGCACTGGAGTCAGCCTCTGAATAAACATAGCAGATCTTCACAGTGAAAGTGCACCCTAATTATGTGGTCACTTTTCAGAATAAACTGCACTTTAAATTTATTCTTGTAATGATGATGGTGGTGTGTGTTGCTGCACTTTGTGTAATTCTAGAGAAACAGTGCATATTCAACAGGATGTTTTATAGAGTTTTGCTCTTCAGACAAGTTATATATCACTGGGTTTAAATGTAGCTATGTGTGATGGGTCTTTCAAGAAGATATATTGCATGTAATATGCTAATTTAACAGTTATCCTATTATTAACCAAATCTGATGTCTGATGGTTGCATGATTCGTAAGTAGGTAGAATGATATCACTACATTTTGCCTATACAAAACAAACTGCTGTTCAGAAATTTCAACCAAGTGATGAATATGGATCTTTTATTTACCAATGGGATCTAGAAGTTTGCCTGTTACAACACCAGAAATAAATACATACTGTCAATCTATCGTTCCAATTAGTTTTAAGTAGCAGTTTGAAAATCAGCCCTGTGGCATATTTAAAAACATTAAGATAATAAAACTTTCAAGAGTAGACTAGATTTAAAGGAGAAACCATATGTAAGGTTTTCAGATAATGGTTAACTGAACTTATTTATTAAAGAGATCTATAGCTATAATGCATTCTCAGATGTTCTACAAGCAGAAGTGAGGCAAAAAGGTTTTAGATCATTGTATTTGGTTCTACTGTTTTGGGGCCCCTACACTATACCTTTTATTCAAACTCAAAATATTTTATAAATAAGGAACAGCAGGAGCAACTATTTCATCTACTTCTGTAATAAGGCCACATCTTCAGCAGAGCATATTAAATGTTTGGTGTTGCACAGAAAAGAAAATGGAAAAAAATTCTTTCCGTGGAAAGAAAAACCTGGTAAGGGAGAATGAAATAACCATCCTAGGATGTGGCCAGAGCACTTGGGAGTTGTTACAAAAAGTTCTGTAGTTTTCTGATTTACCTTTGGAAATAGTAACTCATATAGGTCTAATAGAGGTACCAATTATCTCTACTAACAATCATAGTTTTAGATTTAGTATTGATTTACAGAAAGATACACTATATCCTAAACAATCTGCAAAACTTTCTGCATGGTCTTCATTTTCATTTAAGAGTGATAACCAGCCTTTTGCACGGGACTTATCCAAGTACTGACTTTGCTTTACTTGGAAAAGTCAGCAGTATTGCAACAGTGATCTTTTACTTTGCATCATAACCCTATAATAAAAAATTATGGGTGAAATGTTACTATCTGAGTCCAAGGGGAATAACATTTTTTCTGTGCCATTCCTAGTTTAATATAGATTGGAGAACAATATCCATTGCAAACAGGAAACATGCTTTGACGTTCTAATTTCCTACTCACATGATTATGTGAGTCATATAGGCCAAACTGTCAGCTCCAAAAATGCAGCCAAAGTTCAGAGAAATTTAATTTTCTCTTAAAAATAATATCACTTAATTCAACCTAAACTGTTTTGGATAACAGGTCAGTAAATAGGTAAACCAAGTAGAGAGGAGTTTCCTCATTCAAGATTTAGAATACCACCTTTTTAATATAGTAGCAGCATAACTGAATTCAGGACTGTACTTGACCATCAGTTTCTGATGTTTCTTTTAATGTAGACTTTTAATGTAGACTGTCATACTCATTAATATCACATCTGACCAGTTAAAATCTGAAATTATGTTAATACTCAAAACATGTGCGACTGCAAAGTATAATTTTCCATGTTTTACAGATGAGGAAACTGAAATACAAAGTTATCTAGCTCTTTTGTACTTAAGAACTCTAGAGTGCCTATTTTTTCAGGGTTATTAGATTAGTACTCAGTTGTTAAAACAAAGCACACATTTTGCAAATGAAAGATGGAAGGATTGCAAGAGATTGGACAATTCCATGTATTCTATAGGGAATTAAATCTCATTTCCACATTCTTTATATATTCTTTCCCTTGCTCATATTCCTTTCCTTGTATATCCATGTGCAGTTTAACAGTCAAGAGTTGTCTATTAAAGTACATCATCCATTTACAGTAGGGAGTTCACTTTCTCACCAACTGTGCAGATTTCAGATCCTAAAGCCCCGCACCTAATATGCACACTCAATAATGACAAAATCTGTGATTCCCCTTACAATTTACAAGATGGGCAGAAACAGTCTAAACCACTGCTTTGCTTCACACTGCGACTCCCGGGTTAATAACATTTGCTCCACACAAAGATTTCAGAAACTGTGAACTTTTCCCTCCAAGCCAGCTGCAGCTGATCTACAAATATCCTCTCACCTATTGGCTCACAACAGTAACCCCCTCTCCATCCATAAGTCTTTCAATTGTAATCCCACCCACAGTCTTTCTCATATAAGGCCTGGTTAAAAAACTGCCCTTTAATTCTTGCTTTTTGGTCAGAAATTGCCTGCATCTTCTTTTCACAGTCTGACAATGCCTGTGGATTTCAGTGGAACCTGGACCCTTACCAGCAATGACAACTTTGAGGGTTACATGCTGGCCTTAGGTAGGTGAAAATACCCGATTCTGATCTTCCTTTCTGTCTGCTTAAGAGTTCTGAATTTTAGAGGAATCTGGATCATTACTGTAAGGATCTTTGCTTACTGGTAAACATATAATTATGTAGCACCTTGTGATTCAAGTCTTCTCATAGCTTTCAGGAGTTTCTCTACCTAGTGTTTGTTACGGTAGAACTTACGTATGGCTTCCCTTAGAGTAGTGTTGTCCTTGCCCACTTAATTGCACTAATTTTCTCTTACTTTTGAGCATATTGGTATAGAAACCTGAGCCTAGGGTTGAATAAACAATAACCTCCCCTCCAACCCCTGCAAAAAATTACTAGCTATCTGTCACTTGTTGGCATTTTTTTTTATCTTAGGGTAACTTACCTTTAAACAGCTCACAAAATGTATCTCTCATTGTGACCTGTGTGGGGCTGCTTAGCAGCTTCTCTGAATGTACATTTTATAGAGCACTTTACTAATCTCTTACCTTGCTCAAACCTTTCATAGAGAAATACTAATGATGCTGTAGTAGAGAAACCTAGAAAAGTTCTTGGTAGTTCATAGCTTCCTTGTGCAAAGCTAATTATAAAGCTGTGACATTAGGTAACCCTATGCACTGCCGCCTTCTCCCCACTCCCTGCAATCCCTTTCTGCCATTTCAACGTGTACAGGCTATTGACTAGTGGTCTCTCTTGTTAGGGATTGTACACACTAGAGTGCAATCTACTCTTTTTTTGGCCATATCTGTGCCAAAAGGATGACCTATTTAATCTGTCTAGCTAATATTCTTAACATGTTGAAAGAACTCTCTCTCTTCCTTTCTAATGCTGCTGTGTTATCTGTCAGAGCAATAATGGCTGTTCTTAAATCATCTTTTAGGATTAATGAATACTCTAAACATCTCAAACAGCTTAAGAATACATAATAATTTGAAATGCTGAACTACAGCATTTCAGTGGGGGTGAACTATCCACATTCTCAAGGCTTTTTTTTTTAGTTGTGTGCTGATTCTGAAATAATGCGAGTGAAAGATGATTCTTTGCCAGCTGACTAGTGGGACTCAATTTCTTTTTAGCACGTAACTGGGGGAAGTTGCTCCTTAAAAGTCAAAGCAAATAATCCTTCCAATGACTTACAACTGATCTTTATTTGCCTACTCCCACTTGTTTGCCAGTATATTTAATAAAACAAGAACCCAGATTAATACTGTGGATTTGGAATGTGAAACTAGTCTGCCAGAGCATGGCATGAGGAGCTTAGTTACCTACTCGGCCAGGAGGTTATGGATGAGGAGGAGTGGCTACTCCTAACTACCTCTTCTTGCAGTTTGGTAACTCAACCTCTGAAGTACAGATTTAGAAGTAGTTTGTATTTATAAATACTTATACACCAAGCATCAGCATAGCTGCATGGCTGTTGCCAGGAAGAAGTTTAACCCTCTATGCTGAAATAAGACCACGGTTTAACTTCTAACCGTATAAAGACAAGACTGAGATTCTGCTGCTCCTCTAATGCAATCAGTGACAAAGTCATCCTGTTTCAGCTTAGATCACACGATGACCCATATGGTCCAATCTGTGGTAGCTGAACACATTTTGTTAAAAAGACCTCATAAACACAAAACTTTTTTCTGCTTATCATATAATCATTTAAATCATTTAATATAATCATCATTATGATCATTTTAATCAAAATGATGACAAACATCTAAATTAGCATATCACCCCTCGTTTTACTCATT